CCCCTTCCCCCGGACATCTAGACCAAAGTCAACCACACTCCCTCCGGGCCACTGCCCCATGCGCCCCCCCCCCCCCCCCTCCCCTTTCTCCTCCAGCTGGATAGATGGAATGCCAGGTCGAGGAGGGCCGGGTCTCGCAAAGGGCTCTCCGCTTCGTGGCCCTCAGGGTGGGCACATATGACAGGCAGCCAATCGCATCGCTGGCCCGCGAGCACAGTCGCGTGCTTTCCTCACACTTGTCCACACACGGCGGGCAAGCAGGGGACCCGGTGCCCACTTGTCTCGGGTGCTGGCGCTCTTCCCCGCGAGGGTTCTGAGACGGAGGCGCGAAACACCAATCAAGCCCGACTCTCAGGGTAGCCAGGCGGCTGCCGGCATCATGGCCAAGGTCGAGCACCGCCGGCCCTCGGTGCAAGAGGGGTGGGTGTGCCTCGGCCATCCGGCCGAAGTGGCGTTCCTGTGCCAATGGGCTTGGGATGCTCGGAGAGTTGCCTGGTGTTACCGGGGGGTGATCCACAGGGCCTTGATGCCATCATGGCCGTCCCGAGCAGTGGCCCCTGCTTCCTGATCCCCCGCGGACCCGGCACTTGTCCATGCTTGCAGAGCCTGTGCGCAGCTTTATCCATGGCCTGCCTCTCGGACATCTTTGGATTGGCCGGGGTGCGGGAGATACGCCCGGCTGTGGAGAAGCCAAAACAGACCCCCCCCCCCTCCCAGCCTCCCACCGCCGGCAGGCTGAGCCCCCTCCGCTTGTATGTTCACAAATGTGCGAGGCAGCCCGGGTGAAAGGCTGAGCACTGCTTCACTGACCCCCTCGCGGCCATGTAGACGCTGCTGGTGGGCATAATCACAGAGATCCGGCGGCAAGGAGAGCCTTGCCATGCGGCGGCACTGGCGGTGGCAGTATCCTGATGTGAGCTGGGCGCATAGGCAGATGCGCGGACGCATGCACCGACACACACGTGCGCACATGCGCGCATGGGACTTGTGCCTTGCTCCGGAGGCCAGCTGCCGCACCCGGAGATCAGGGCCCGCCAGGAGCATCACAGCCTGGCCAAGCTGCCTGTCGGAGGAGGAGGGCCTGCGCATGTCGCGGCCCCGGCGGGCAAGATGGCAATCGGCTGACCGAGGATGCCCTCTCTCCGAAGAGCATGGAGAGCGGCCCCCGCACACAATACGCGGATCTGGGGAGGAGGAGCATGACGATGGGGGTTGTATTTCTTCCCGGATGGAGACCAGGCGAGGGGTGGTGGGCGGGGCTCAGCGCTGGGAGGCGGCCTGTGCGGCGGCAGCGGTGGCCATGTCGGCGGCCACGCTGCCATCATTGGGGGTGGATGAGCGGACAGGCTCCAGAACCTCATACCACACGGTGCAGAGAGCGCAGTTTCTCCGGAGAAGCCCCTCGCTCTCGGTGTAGTTCTGCATAGCAAGGCGGCCTTGGTGAGTGTGGGGCAGCGAGCCGCGGAGGCGGCCGGGGGAGGGGCAAGGGAGAGACGAGAGCAGGCAAAGGGCAGGCAGGGCACACGGCGGGGAAATGCGCGCACCATCGAGATGACACGGTGCAGGTTGGAGATCTGGTTGAGCTTGGTGGCAACCAGCTCATTGAGATTATCCTGCAGCGAAAGCCGAGTGTTGAAGGTGAAGGTATCGGCTGGGTGCGGCAGCACGGGAGCACGTTAGCGAGGGGAGGCCCGGATGGAGCGTGGCAAAGAGGTGTGCCATGCTACCGGGGGAGGACACCGGGGGAGGACGCCGGGCGAAGCATCGAAGGAAGAGCGAGGTAGAGAGGTGGAGAGGCAGGGGGGAGACAGGACATACCGCACTCGCGAATGTTCATGTACTTGACGCGCACGCGGTGGGTGCCGAAGGGGCCAAGCAGAGGGCGGTTCTTCGGTGGCACAACGCCGGCGCCCGGCTGGATACCGGCGCCAACGGTAGGGGGGGTGGCAGGCTCCGCGGGAGGGGTCATACTTCTCGAGGCAGGGCGTGTGGGGGAAGATTGGCAGGGAACGGGCACAGAAAGCGAACGGGTGCCAGTCGTGGGGAAGGCACGATTGGGGGGGATGCAGATCAACGCAAGGTCTTGGAGTCAGGGTTTGTGGCCCCTCGCGTATTGCCTCCCCCCGCCCGCCCCCCTCCTGCAGCGCCCGGCCTACACCGAAGGAAGGCATGATGCCGGTGATCGACGCTCTGGCGGCCCCACGTTTCCCGGGGAAGGGGCGCTTCCCCGGGTCCTTTCTCCGTCGGGCGCGCGCCCCGCAAGCTTCCCAAATGAGAACCCACCCAATCGCGGCCGGAGGGGGGAGGGGGGGATGGGCCGCCAGCCGTGCCCCCTCGCCACACTCTGCCTAAGCACCGCCGGGAGGCCCCCCCCCCCCCACCCCGCCTTCATGCCCCTGCCCCCGGTCTCGAGCAAGCCGGATGGGGAGCGGAACGCGGAACAAAGGGGGGAGATCGCTCGCTCGAAGGAAAGACACGGGCTAGATGGCCCGCGCGAGCGCGTTACGCCGGCAGGTGATCGTATCACGCCCTTCCCGGGAACCGGGCGTGATCCGGAGCTCCGGTCCGCAGCCCAGCGGTCACGCAAAGTCTCCATCGAAACCCTCAGCCCGAGATCGGAGCTAACCCTCGGCTATCGGGCGGCTGAGCATGGTGTGACGGAATTGCAGATCGCCCAGGCGCGGCGGCCCGAGCCCTCCCCGCCGGAAGCCAGGGGCCGGGCGCGTCCGGTGCAGGGGGCTGGCGGCCCGGTACCGCCCCGCCCCGCCCCGCGCCACAGCGAGCGCAAGGCACGCAAGCCTAGACACACTTGCGCAGGGGGCCGCGGCCGGGGAGGGAACCATTGCCCTGGTGTTTCCCGGCCCCCCCCCCCCCCCCCCTCCCCCGGCGCAGTGGGCTGGCTCGTGCTGATCTCGGTGCGCCGAGAGCAACGGAAGCCGCACAGAGAGGCCCCCCCCTCCCCCCCCCAGAGACACACGCACACACACACACATTTACATTTGTGTTGAGGGGACGCCCGCGACGCGCCGGGCCTCTCCCTCCGGGAGTGGGGCTACAGCTGCTGGGGCAGTGGAAGCCCCACCCGCCCCCTCCCCCCCGGGGCTTGCTTCCCCCTTTTTTTGGATTGCCACCGCCGCAGGTGCCCCTCCCCCCGACGGTCAACACGTTCAACACGCCGGAGAACACGGTGGCTACAGGGGGGGGGGGGGGGGGACGGACCTGCACACGCTCGGCGGGTCCCACCCGCCCTCCGGCAGAAGACCATACTCACCTGGGCCCCAACGGGCAGGCTCGCCGCGGCGCCGGTGTTCTTTGGTCTGCCCTGCCAGGATGCCGGAGCTCGGGAAAACACGCCCAAACCGCCGGCCGCTTTTCACGGAACCCCCCGCCCCCCCCCGCCCCGCCCCCCCCCCCACCCCCACAGGGCCTCTCACTGGAGGGGCCTGCGTCACTCTAGGCGGGAGGGACCATGCGCGCCCAAATGGCGGGGCACATGCTTGTCGCTCCGACTCCGAGGCCCAAAGGACGCCGCCGAGGGCGCACAGCGCACGAACGTGAATACGCCCCACTCTTTGGGCGAGGGACAGGGAGGAACCTTCGGGACAGCGTGGCCGCCCCCCCCCCCCC